ACATTTACGAAATAAAGCACCGTTTGGAAAATATTGGCAGTTTTCACAGAAAAGGCCAACGTTTTAAGAAAACTATTGCTTATGAACAGCTGTATTTTACGGAGGAAAATCGACCCAAAAATGACGCCGCCTTTTTCGACATATCTCAAGAGCCATTAGAGCTACAGCACGCCTTTTCGCATCACTGATTAAAGAATTGAGAACTCAGAGGATCTTGAGTGAGGAAATAGTGACAGTTTTCTCACCAACAGCTAAATTTCAATCTGAGTACAAGATAAGACGAAAATTTCATGCATTACGCCACTTTTTTGCTTGTATCTCCAGAGCAGCTTGAGCTAGCGCTCACTTCTGAGCATCGCTTGGAAAATGTTGGCAGGTTTCACAAATGGGCCAAAATTTCGAGAAAACTAGCAATTTTGCGCTGTTGTATTTTACATTGAAAAATCGAGCCAAATCGGATTTTTTTCCAATGTATCTCAAAAGCCATTAGAGCGGCCAAACAGTCCGCTTTCCTACCACTGGATAGACAATCCAAAACCCCAACATGTTTTTGAAGTAAATCATCACGGGGGAGGTAAAGGCAATTTTGGTATAAAAAAGAAAATTTTATCTGCTGCTAGAATGAAGTGTCTAAACATGTTCACAAGTTGATCCTAAAGCCGCATTCCTTTCGAAGTTCAGTCGCAGCGGTGCATAGCATTCGATCAAGCGTGCAGAAAATGTGCATCTTCCCTGACATGGCGAAAGGTCATCACCTTTCTTCATTCTACACATTGTACGGTCAAGGAACTGCGACTATTTATTCGAAAAGACAAATGAATTGAACGCCCTTAAATTAAAAAAAATACATTGAATGGTTATAAGTTATAAAAAAATAATTCAGACGTTGTGCGAAAGAATACCTACTGGTGATGATTGAAAAAGGCTTTTAAATGTTAACTACTCCTTGGGTTGACCAGAAAAGAAATAAATTTTGATTTTGAAAACTTATACTCTGGATCCGCTTTAGGCATTACGAAAACCAAAGCCGCAAAGTTTAACCTCTAGCAGTGGCATGTGAGTTTAAATGCTTAACTTGTCTGCAAGTTGAGTAAAAGGTGCTAATCCAATAATATACACAATAGTGTTGACTTTCCTGCACAGCAGTCATTTAAAGCAGATGTAGCCGGTATGAATAAGTATGGTGACTTGGCTCATACACGATAAACAGACAGGAAAATTAAATGTTTAACCGAATAAAACAAGTTCTCTATCAATTGTTGTTGAATGGTCCCTGCAATTAAGCATTGAAGCCAATTAGTCGACGAGGAAAACTTTGAACTTGAGCATTCCACAAGGCTGTTTGGACGTCAATAGGCCAACGTCGAACGCGTTTAAAATAATTATCACTCAACACTAAATTGGACAGTCTTTCTTGCATAACAACTTACTGATTCCCTGGACAGGTAATTTGCAATGCTAATCAGTTTAATGTTGACTGTGATTAGCTGGCAATAAAATCTGCTTACTTCGTGTGTTAATTAATTCGTTTCTAGTCACACTCAATGATTCTTTCAGTGTCTCAAGTCTTTATTTATTGTTTTGGTTGCATTCTGTTCAATATTATGACTTGTTTTTGACTATTCAGTCAGTGGCTAGAATTATTTTTACACCAACGCAATCAAACCTCAATCGATGTCATATTTTTATAATTTTTTAAAGAGTTACACAGAGATGGCTTGAATATGCCTGATTGATTTTTTTGCCTTGAACTTCGCTTTGTATCAAAAGTACCGCAGAGTTTGTGCTGTTGGATAGAAGGTAGTTGTGGAAAAATAGCTCTAACGGAAGTAGGCCTGGGTAACTTAAAGGCAATTTATTAATAATATTTTAAAATGTCTTCAAATTTTAGAATTTTCCAGTTTTAGCCAAGTTACTCTTTCTTCTAAATGGTCAATTTTCTAAAGTTTCACTTAAAAATGCTGACAATCTCAAGGTATTTTTCGCGAAAAATTATGAAATACATTTTGAATCTTTCGTCGCTTTGCAAAAAGTTTTGAAATCCCTTTCCAGCTTCGAATTTCAAACAATCAAATAATTTTCTATCAAAAAACGGACAAAATAAGCGAAAGTTTATAACAGATTATTTGCAAATCTCGTCACCTCCATTACTCTGAAGACTGTAGAATTTGTTAAAACATGTGGTTTTTTAGTTTTGACTGAATTTTTTTTGCGTTTCTTCCTACTCAAAAACGCTCTATTTTGTAGAGTTTCACTTTAAAATACTGACGATCTGGTAGACTTTTACGCGAAAAATTACAAGATAAATTTATAGCTTTGTAAAAATTTTATGTGTCGAATTAGGGGCAAAAGCGAAAATAAATTCCTCCCGTTTTGTTCCAAAAACCATTATGGTTTTCTCCAAAACCGGTCACAAAACTGAAAGTTTTTAATCGAAAACTTCGAATTTGGCTCAAAAACCAAATAATTTTATTCAGTTTTTTACCGAAAGTAATTAGGACTATCTTGAAAAAACGACCAGAGCAAAAGTTCACAAAAAATTATTGGGAAAATTCGCCATCGCTCTGAAGATTTCTAAAGTTCCTTTAAATTTTTAGGTCGTTCCAGTTCTAACAAAGTTTCTATTAAGCAATTCTTTCTACGCAGAAATCGTATTATTTTTTATTTTTATTTCAAATTCTGACAATCATCAGGTATTTTCTGTGGAAAATTATAAGATAATTTTTATTGTAATACTCGCCTCCTTAACCGCTATGCAAAAATTTTTGGAAAACTTTTTACAGTTTTGAATTATGGAGAAAACCGTAATAATTATTTCTGGGTGTTTTTCCAAAAATATTTCCCCGAACTGAAAAAGCGAAAGTTTATAATCATTTATTTGGAAAACTATTGGAAACTGGGGTTTCGTCACTTTTACGTCAATATTTCTAAACAACACTGTCTCTAAACAGATAAACCGCGTTGTAAGTAAGTTTTACTGTAAAATACTGGCAAACTGAATCTTTTATGCAAAACAATTAAGAGATCGATTTTACAAGAAAATTCGACGACTTTATTTGGACTCAGTTCTGTCGCAGGGAAAATCTAGATGACTTTTTTTAGTTGTTTGAACAAAGTAGTAAAACGTTACTCAGAAAAAATGTTGATGACCTTTTTTTTAGATGTGAAAATTCCAGTCTCAGGTCTCGTAAAGCTTTAACAAATGAATTATCACTCATTAACCGATGAGTTATAACTCGTTAACTCAGAGCGGCAACAACTCATTAGCGCAACTCAACACAGTGTTACCCAGGCCTAAACGGAAGATAAAGTACTTTTGTCAGAAACTGAACTGTATTTTTTCACCCAAATTTCCATTTTATGTTTACAGCAAATTAATTTTTATGTACAAAAAAGATTACGGAATATCCAAATGCGTCATTCAACGCGGCCATGTATTATATTAAAATTCCGAAAAAACCCCAAAAAAATTAATAGCTTTTGTTTCGTGTTTAATCTGATTGCTTACGATAGAACGCATTTTTTGAAGCAAGGAAGCAGGTGTTTTAACAGGTCCAAACAGATGAATCACGCTTCACTGGGCAGAAGAAAATCACCTTTGTGATCGTATGATTTTTTAAATAAAATTTAAACTTAAACCCTGATCAGCTGGAAAATATTTCAAATGCATCGCAAAACCCATTGCGCTTTAATTGCGTTTTTAACATCATTTCTAGCAAATTAACTGGTTTTTACACTTAAGAACTTGACACTCTAAATGCGAATTTTATGCAAACTGCTGAAATAGATTTATCCGGTAACGTAATGTTTAATTCATTCTTAAAAGCTTCATTAGCATAGTTTAGTTTGCATGATGATACGGAATTTGTAACTGGATGTTTTGGCTTCAATTTAAATCATGAGCTCAGCCCAACTATGGCGTCATCCAGTTTGAACCCAACGCTGTTATGATAATTAACCTTGTTAATTTCCCGACAAATTCTGTTTATTTTCATTTTTATGGCCGCGTTTAGTGTTTGACAAATAAATGCACATTGTTCAGTAAAATATGCCTCGGTATATCCAGCATCTAGCGTATCTTTCGACTGTTGTAGTTTAACAATGTTTTAAACTGTTCCAAACGATCTACAAGGAAACCAACCATTTGGAACTTAGAAGGGACTCTTAGGGATGTGAAACTAGTCCTAGATTATTGGACAAAGTTTAAGTTATAAAATACGCAAAATATGAATGCACTCAATAGGCTTTGAGTGCGCCCAGAAAAATTGAGCAAAAATCCCAATAGCGCAAACATGTTGAACATTTCGAAATCGATTCCTGCGAACTATAATGTTTTATAGTTCGCGTTCCAATATGTCAGCACATTAACTTCTTTATCCATAACAATAATACCTCACTTACGTCACTGCTGTTGCATTTTAATTAGCTTTTTACGATGGTTTGTATAAACGAATTCACCTGCCAGTTGAGCAATTAAATTAATGGTCTTCATTAAGAGTATTTCGGCGTGCTTTTTACGGTTACCCATTTAACTGTACCCCAAACCCGATATCCGATGGGCTTTAGTTGATGGTGGTCATTGTTGGTGGTGAAAGCGTGCCAACAGTGCCCATATGGAACGTTTTCCCAAAATCTCATTTGTTCGCTAGTTTTTTTTTGATTGGCAGTGGTTGGTTTAATATGTTTCATCTAAAAATCCCCTATAGGTAAGGCACAGCTTTTTCCTTGTTGCCCAAGAGGAACTCGTTTGGCATTACCATAAGTGCATCGAGTTGATTTATGTTGCACTTGCCATTTGCAGCTAAATAATCCACTTAGTTATTACGTAATTATTTATCTATCGCCTGAAAGCATGCAGTCGCATTTCTAGACATCGAATATTAATGGTACATTGTCGTTTTTATCCCCCGAGTGGTTTTAAAACGAGTGCAAACTGCCTCTTCCGCATCAGATGATGGACGATTATGGCCCGAAGATAAATCCTGGTGTTTTGCTTGCAGAATGTCTGGAGTAACGTTGGCTGGTGGGCAGCCTTCAGGAGGCAATACAGACGTGGGAGATGGAGGTGGAAGAGCGCTCAAATTGCAAACTGATACTCCTCATTTGGTTAGCATGGGAGGCGACAGACTCAGTACTTCGGTTACGTTGCATCCACTTCCTCCAGGTGAATAACTATAAAAAATGTTCATGGAAGTGAAGGTGTTGTTAGATTAAGGGTGGTGATAGTAAATTTATGGAAAATGATAAATGATCTTTTAGGAGTTTTCGGACGTAAATCACTGAGGTGATAAAACTCACCAAAATTAGTAGAAAACTTGTGCTGAAATTTAAGCATTTTTCCAGTTTTTTCGTTCCAGCTCCCGCGATTTTTGCGACATTTACCTGAATTTTGGAAGGTGGGTTACGCTCTTGAGGCCAAATAGTTCATTCGGTCAAACGGTTGCACGAATATACAGAAAGTTTTGTTTTAAGGGGGCCAGTCACTATTAGCCAGCTGGAACCTTTCTGTGGTACGCCCCTGAACTTTAAATGCATTTTTTTTTAATTACTTGTTCAATTTAGGAACTTCCTTATCTCTAGTGTTTGGTTCGCATCTGCCACTTTTTTTGAGTTATTTGCAAAATTAATCCAATATGCCTATTCAGGTCCAGCAAAGCACCGCTTTGAGAGAAAACATGGTGCTTTCAGTCTCAAATATACTTACTAAATATTTACTTTTGTGTGTGTTTTTTCTTTCCGTCTATTTCCTCGATTAAAAATTGAATTACCCCGTATAAATATGAGATTTACCTGTTTACCATGGCTTTGTCCCATTTGTTTCCTACGCGCTCTTTTATCTTATCAGTGTTTGCATAATTTCTTTATTTAATTTAGCATCACGCAGGTTGTGATATTTCGTACGTACATTGAGATTTTTGTCAAACTAATTAGAATATTCGGTCGACAGTGCGTTATTGGTGCACATTGAAGTCGGTGAGTCGATCTTAAAAATATACCTTTTATTTTTAGTTTTCATAACTTTTCTCGCTGAGATTCATATGCAGATTTTTTCTGTTTTCTTGTCGTCTTTAAAAGTTCTCTTTAGCTTCCGCGGTGTTTTGATGGTGAATTTTGCCAGCATTTGTTAAGAAATCTGGAATTTTATACGTAAGCTTAACGTAGAAATTTTTGGGAAACAATGCGGCTAATTTCTCTTCTCCAATTTTTCTATTGAAACTGGGGAGAAATTTGACTTCTCCTTTATGACTAGATGGATGTCCATATTTATTGGCAATATCGAAAACAGCAAAAAGAGCAAACAATTCAACATCCGTCCTATTTTTGGGCTTTGAAAGCAAGCAAAACCGCCAGACACGTCGGGCCGAAACGCACGTGGCTAAGGAGTGATTCACGTGTCTTAAGGGACCTGCCATTTCCTTTGAAATATCGCAGCTTTAACTGCTATTTATCGTAATAAAAGGACCCTTCTCTTTTCCTACATGGAGACCTAGCGGCCCGAATAGAAATAAGAGCAGAAAGTGGCTTTCTATAGGATGGCAATTCAAATTTTACATAAAACATTTTGTTGAAAAACACCTTCTAGCGTCAGTTTTTTTGGTGTGTTTTTGGAATGCAGGCGTTTCCAAATCGCACCAAAAACTTTTGAGATAAATGATCCATTAAAACAATACAAACGTAAAAAATATTTTCGTTTTCATTAATTGCATTTCCTTCATTTTCCAAAGTGTATCTTTTTTACTTTCTCCATAACATTTGCGTACAAACCGCTTTAATAAATGAACTTTCCTTGAAACGATCAAATGAAATTATTCTCAAATATGATGCACCAGACCATAAATCTGGAGCTCAGACAGGCTGAAAGAAAGGTCCCCCCATTGCTGCTGTTGACATCTATTTTTTACGTGCCTTTTCCGAGCGTATTAGACCGTTAACAAGGGCTTCTAATTCGGTTTTCGGGTTAAAATAGAAACCAAACTTCTGTAAAGGCTGAACCCCGGCGTCAGTTATTATCGGAAGTCTTTGTGGAACATCTACCTATCTCTGGGAATTAACAGAGACACTTTCCTGGTTCAGGTTTCACGTCTCGAGTCGCGACATAATCAAGCGAGGAATTCTATCTAATTAGTGTTTCCTGTTTTCTCTGCAATATTTCATGCATACTGGTAATTCAATTTCTTCAAAGGAAAAATGTTTAATTTTCGTTTTAATTCAGCTGCTTATGCAAGAGGGAAAACCGGTGGAGTAACACCGATGGCGGATCCAGGGGTGGGGGGGTCATGGGGGTCATGACCCCCCATTCCATTCCAAATGAGCGTTCTTGTTCATTTTGCCTCCGAGATATGAGCAAAAAGGGGACGGAAAACATGAAATTTTGGCATAATCTTGCACCTAAGTGTCTGATATTCAAATTTCCCTTTCTAGGTCAAATCTACTCGAATTTCCTCACTCACGTTGTTACGACTGAATCGACTTTTCAATTCTCTATCCAACGATGCCAAAACGAATTCTGCGGCTCGAATGGTTCTTGAGAAACTTCG